TAAAACGTAGAAAAGTAGGTGTACTTTGGAAGCGGCTAAAAAAACCTTTTAAACAACGTTAATGCATGACATTTTTACGCTGTGATAAACTTTACTTTGCGGATTTGCAGCAGTGCAATTGCAGCCAACGCAAATGCCATACTTAATCCTACAAGAATAATCTTTGGGGAATACTTTTAAAAGTTTAACATGCCAACAGAAACCAAACAGAAAGGAAACTAGATTTAAAGTGACATAGTTTTACTTAATAAGAATTTTTGATTCGCACAAAAATGCTATTAAAAAGACAAAAATATTTTATACACTCATTTTAATTTTTAGCTCCATACGCATGTTGTATTCTATATTTGCAAACATGTGGTTAATATTCCGCAGGAAATGCGCGTTCAGTCAGCGGAAGGATCGCGCACGGGGACGGAGATGGCGGCCGTGATGAGGTCGCGTTTCGGCCCGCGTTTCGCAACAGAGTGGTCGTTAGGCCGACCGCAGGAAGTTGCGAAAATTGCGAATTCATTACCTCCGCAGCTATAAATACCTTCCAACAATATCAGCTACTTCGTGGCCCAGCGCCTCCACCATTATAAATTTACTCAAGTGCAAAACTAACCGAAAGTACCTATACACAAACTCAATTAAATAAAACACATACACTATTTTTAATACTCATTTTGTGTCTCTGCACATTAAAAGAAACTAAAAAACATGGCGCTCGCAAGTACTCTACAGTTGCACAATGAAATCGATTTGAATTTTAATGGCTCAGGACTCGCAGGACTCGCGTTATCCTCGCTTTGCAATCTGCGAATGCTGCAAGTCTATAAATTAAACTTCCATTACTATCTTGGTCGTTTCTAGCGTCCCAACAGTTTAAAACTATCATTTTGTATTTTATTAGTGACATCTACCCCCTAGAAATTTACAAGCAACGCCATCTACATACATTATAATGGATTCAAAGAATTTTTGAAACAATCAATTGAGTGTTTAAAGAATAAACAAGGGTTTGGCATGCGGCCGTCAAGATTTATTCAAGCTGTAAATCCATTGAATAAATTTTGTGTTTCGAAGCATCTTGAGGACATAGAATGATGAGACGTCACAGCAAGAAAAGATAGTTTTATATAACTTCGTGACTTGGAAATTTTATAGCCATTTGCGTATCGAAGCGACATTTGAAGTGGGTAATGCGTTTGTGGTTGTTCATAAATCTAAAAATATAGTTTACAGATCCTATTTTACTCCAAATATCATTTCTTCATTTTTCTTTCCAACAATTTCTTTCCAATTTCCACTTTGGGTTTCCGCATTAATGTCGTCACAATTCCGCTTCCGTATTCTTTCAGGCATGATTAATGACAAAATCGATGCGGCGCAATTTACCACAAAACGATTTTTTTCGCGCTACTAATTTACAGCATCAAAGAAAAAGCTCTCAACGAACTTGAATAATTGAATAAAAAAGAATTCAACTGTAAAATAACAATTTCTGATGCAAAATACAAGCAAAAATCAGGTTAGTAACCATAACGGACAGTGATTGATAGTAGGCAACACACGCAACACATCAGCCGTAAAAACAAATAAACACAAGAGTCGATTAACTTGATTAATATTCCAAGGCACAACATGCATGCCATTTCATTTAGTAGATTATCTTATCTTATCCCCTATCTAATATTCAAATACATCTAGGACGTTCTACATGCTAGGCTGTTTGATTATTCAGAAAGCTTTGACTGAAAAGACGCAGTTTCCAATTCGCGACTTGGGATTCATTTCCATTCGTTTCGCTTCAGTATTGTTTCAAGTTTTGTTGCGAGTTTTCAGCCTGGTTGCTCTCGAAAGCCTTCTATCTAGGCCATCGGTGGTGGTTTTCTCGGATAAATCATTAATTACACGGGTGACACTTGAAATCTGCGCAATTTACCAGAGAGTCTCCCTCGGCAAGAACAAGTTTCAGTGGGTGTGTACGAGTGTATATAGTTTCGACTAGTAATAAAGCAAATACATTAATTATTGTGACAGAATGAATAAATAATTAATTTCGATGCTAAGTGCAAACAGTACCCTTGCGAAAACTTGAAAATGTTTCGTTTTTTTTATCTCCCATTCGATTATTCATGTTTGAAACTCTGATAGCGTCAGATAGCGCGGTTGATTTATTGGCTGGACTTTGCACTCACCGCCAAATTCTGAGTTTCATCCCTTCAGAAGGCCACAGTTTTAGTTCGTGCAACGGCAACGTCCAAGTAATTTATAACTTGGAAAGTGCTTGAATTGTCTATGTAACTTTGATGGTCGTTTTAAAGTTATAAACTAGACAATTATTAAATTTAATAATTTTGGTAATTAAATTAAATCCTATAAACGTGTTTGTTCACAGTTGGAAAATCGATAAGCAGTGATATCGCCGTGATTAAACCCTTGTGGCATTAAATTGACAGCTGTCATAAATACCAAGCATAACATAACCAAACACAAAAGACGTAAAACATTTATTGAGACATTAGATTGTTGCAGCACTGAGATTTTGCAACTTTTCGCAAACATTGTCACCGTTTATGTGTATTGTGTGTTGCCTAGCGTCGCGCACACAATAAGTTTAATAACATTTACTTCGTATACGACTAGTCGTATAATAAGTTATATCAACCCATCAAATTTTAGGTAATACATTAGATCGTAAAAGAGAATATTTAGAAAAATTACGTTTATATTATATATGTGTCTGTGGATAGATTCTTTGTTCTGCAAAATGGCGACGGTCCCCATCGACGGATAAACCCGTAATGACACTCGTGCGCGTACTCAACTCGATCTCGACAATTTGCCTGCGGGTAGACATCAACCACCTGCACATACACAGGGCGCAAAAGGGCGTAAGGTGGACGGACGCCATTTTGTGACGTTCATCCTCACCACGCGCAACGCTCACGCCAGTAAAACTGATCCGTGAATCTGAAGCACCATTCAAATCCCGAACAGGTCAAAATTCATGAATTCTCCTCGAGAGGATTTACAGCGCAGAGAGCACAGCACAGTGCACAACCCATAATCGTTCAGGGATGTTTATCTTGCTCTTTGTCTCACACATCTTCGCCATCTTTATTATTTTTAATGGTGTAAATCTTTTTTATTCTTTTTATTCAGTTCTTCGCGTGAAGAATCCGCGTTGATTTTCATCCCTACGTTATCCCTGTATGGATTAACATTAACATTTGCATTCAAGTCGAGTCGCTCGTTTAGATGGCGCTACGGCTCCGCTTTTAATTATGATTCGAAATCGTTATTTTTCACGCATGGAATCAAATGGCAGAGCGGTGTAAAGTGTTGGCAATGCCAAGGGAGGAAAAATACTAAAAAATTAAAAGGAAATTTAATGATCACAAAAACGACAAGGGCCGTGCTTGACTACCGAGGATAAAGATAACAACGGGGATAATATATTCGGCGTGGTGCGTTGGCAGATATTTAATGTTTAATCAATCATTAAATGACACTTTTGGTACAACGCCATGGAACATTTTATCTTTATCATAAAATATTTATATTACAGGGTGAGTTAAACGTTCTAATTAATTATTAATTAATAATATTAAATAATATTAAATAAATAATATTAATACCCGAATAAATCTCTTTCTTAAATTCTTAATATCACCCCTATAAGTATTATACTATAACCTCAATTTTATACCTTCTAATTTTTATTTTTACAACAAAAAGTAGCCTATGTCCTATTCCAAGGCCTAAACTATCCCTAAACCAAAATTCATTAAAATTTGTTGATTAGTATAGCAGTGAAAAGGAAACGTACACAGTGCATATTTAAATTCGCAATTTAACATGTGCACAAGTGCATGGTTGTCGTCCAAGTTTCAAACAATCAAAATAATACCTATCTATTAAATATTATATCAGGTTATAAAATATAAAGTCGTTCATGACCATTTAGAACGTCATCACCTAATTAAAATATAATTAACTTGCATCCATATAAACAGCAACATTACGCAAATGAGCTCATAATTCTCTCATAATGGAATAACGAAATATGCGCATACAACAAAAGACATAAATTTGAATAAATACAAAAAAAGAAATTTAAAATACCTAAACAAAAATTACACCCTTGGACTTTTTTGTTTTATATTCTGTACCTACTGCTTCGTGTGCATGTGAATAGATAAGTGTGTGTGGTAAACGAATTTATGCGTACACATACTCAGTATACATCATCTGGGATGCGCGCAGAACACGAAATTTCAATTTAATCCCTTCCTGGTCGACCAGCCCTCGACGCACCCTCAAAACCAACGCTGCTTTTACGCATCATGTTTATTTATTCATTCATTACTAAAAAATAAAATAAAATAAGTTTAAAACGTACAAAAGAGATGCGAATTCCGCATTGTAGTTAAAAGGGAATAAATGCATAATCACCACCATCGTGTTCTGTTTGCATTTTTTTTTTCATAAACCAATACCTTTTGAATATTCCACCGCATTTTTTGCTGCCTGGGCTGGGCAAACATAAATGTAGCTAGAATTGCGACAAATCCCCCGGATTTGTCTGCATTTCACTCGCGGCAAAACTCGGATTCATCGGTTTTATCAACAACATCAATATCAACATCATCAACCATTCCGTCACAAAACGGACAAATTATTCCAGCCATTTGAATATAAATTAATGTGTACTCTGCGCAGGAAGCAAAAATGTACAATATGTCCGAATGAAAGAATTAATAATAAATTAATTTCCATCAAAATGAAACAATGCACTCGTGTTGCACGCATCTCAACAGCATTTACTTTCAATATAATTAATGATTATAAAAAAAGAATGTCTCCTTCATTAGCACTTATTTAATTTATCAATTTGTGCATTGTAAACGTGCCGTGCTTCGTTTACTTTGCGTCCGCGTCTCTCACTTGACGTTTTTATTCCGGCTGACGTCGAGTGCAATTATTAATGCGTTTTTTCTTTTCTGTTTTGCACTTGGAATTTTAACGTACCAGCGCGCGTCGCTGTTTTCTCAGCGTGGCAATTTAAATTGCACGTCAACGTTCGAAATTTATTTAAACGCCCGGCTCCGATAACACGTACTAGTGGTATTATTCTACGATAATTGTCGTCGCGGCACGTAGGAAACGCTCAAAAGTATCCAATATACCCAGAGCGAAAACATTATTTTAATCATTTTAACTCGTGAAAATCTTTTTTACAGTATTATAACACCGTTTATTATACCAAAAACATGAAGAAAATGTAAGCCCTTTTTATACAAACATGTTACGTGCGCGTTATTCTCATGTCCTCGTTATTTTTTAAGCAAAATTCAACAATATTTAAATCCACTGGTCTCAACTCATCTCCAACAAAAATACCACGTAGGATAAAGCAAATGATAACTTTTTCGTTGTTAATTTACCTATACTGAGCATATTTTTATAACGTGAAATATTTTTTGCTTGTTTGTAAACATTTACAGTGAATATTTACATGAAAAATGAGAAAAATAATTTTAAAAAGGTCATATATAAATATCCTACCATAAAAATAACGCTAAATAAAGACAATTTAATTAATTCTCGTTAAAATCATAATTTAATTAACCTGTATTTATTTATAAAACATTCCTTGCATAATTTAATTTTTGCGATTTGATTTATGAAAATTCTTCACCAGAGAAATCACGGAAAACACGAAAACCCTTAGAACCTTAGAAATCAGTTTAATCCTCCGCTCGACTTTCGACGCAGGTTATAAGTGGATAAAACGACATACAGCGCTGTTCGGCGATGATACAAAGTGCATTCAACAAGTAAAATCGAAACTTCAACTTCACCTGCCATCCCATCCCATCCGACAACTGGTATAATCTGCTTATTTTCAGGAAGTGGACGCAACAAGCACGAAGACGCAACAAATAACAAGGAAAATATACAAAGCACAAGTGTTACAAGTGCAATTGTGACCGATAGAAAATGTTTTCGAATCCAATACGTATGTTGGTAACACGTGTAATAGAAATGACTTGACATATGACTCAATAAAGCCGTGCCAAGTACGCGCAATGTTGTTTGACGAGCCAATTGTGTACTGATGCGTCTTGATCTAATCATGATTGTTTAAATTTGCACTTTTAAAGTTACAAAAGAAAAAAATTGAAGCAAATAAATAGCAAAATAGTAAGAGGCTCCATCTTGTGGTTATGGATGCATAAAGATACGCTTTTTAAAACGCAAGAACTACTAAATCGAATTTTTAATTTTTTAATTTGTTAGATTATTAGCCCATTTACAAATTAGTGAAATATCTAATATTTATTTATATACAGATGAAACAAAGTCGAGTTAGTAACAGCAATTATAACTCAAGACCGGATGGACAGTTTTTGAGAATCTATGATTTGTTCAATTCGGCTCCGTCCCGTATAACGCAATAATCCTTAAAATGTCAAAAATTATAATTTAACGGACATTAAATCGATAATATAAAAATGAATCTCAAAACCTGTTGGTAAGCGCATAACTCAACAACGCCTAAACCAATTGGGCCAATTCTTTTTTAAATGTTCGTTAAAGTCCAAGGATGGTTTTAACAGCGAGAAAAATTCGAATAATTACCGGGAAACCCTAAAGACAGCCCTTTTCTATAAGATAAAAGTTGACATTGAGTTTCAATCATAATTATAGTTAAATAGTTGAATCCGAGATGGCGCGCTGAAGTGCATTGTTAGCAATTCTTTATATAATTAATTTCTTAAAAATATAATTGCGAATCTTATTGATAGAATTGACACCTACTACTCGTATGTCTAGAACAAGAGAGTAAAAACGAATTACATTTTTATTAAACTCTACCGGAACGAAGTCGCGGGCAAAAGCTAGTAATTGATAAAATTTGGTATAAAAATTCAATAATAGTTACCGTGAAATAATTCAATTCGAGATGGCGCAAAAGTGCATTATTATCATTATTAAAAATTAAATTATTATTTAAAATTCCGTCTTGTACAAGGAAGTAAAAATAAATTACATTTTTACTAAAACTATGGGATAAAAGCTGGTTATTGTTAAAATGATTTAAATTGGAGTATGTATTTTATCTTTCCAAGAAACTGTATTAAATTCAGTTAATATAATTAATTCAACACGACATTTCTTGATAAGAGAGTCCCCAGTTCGCCGTGTCAACTAGTTTAGTTAAATTTTACACATTAACAGTGTATAATTTTGGCGACTATTTATAGCCAGCGCAATGGAAAATATTGACTCAACTTATCGCGTTTTTCTCGCTGGCTCTCTCGCGCGTTCAGCATTTACCGATCGCATATCGCGCCATGAATGAAACTCACGCCGGCCGTCGATCATCGAATTTATCGCTCGCTAATGACCTCATCAATTCATCCGCAATGGCCATTATAATAAATCACACAGGTCTGCAGGTTTTATGATAAATAAATGGCGTCGATTTGTGATACATGATTCAATCGCATATGAATAATACTATAATATACGCGCACGCGTACTGGTGAATCGATACAAATTTGCGTGTCGAGCGTGGATTTGCGTTATCTAAGCCAGGAACGCCGATAGGACAATGTTCGACGTTCTACAATCTACATCCAACAAACGTTGTTCAATGCACGCATAATTAAACACTCACACACATACATCCACACACACAGGGTGTTCGCAATGCATAGAAATTGAAGATTTCATCAAGAATCATCATGTAAACACACTGTATATGTATAAACGCGAGCAATAACCAATTGTTGTTGTTGTTGTTACTACAGTCATGTTGTCGCGCCTAACCAAACATGTCAGACACGGGATTCGTGCACATTAGATATACGCGATGACGTCATGAGGTTAGGTTAAGTTCACACCTTCATTTCATTGATTTTACTATACAAACGTCGAGGTTTTAAATTAGTGGTTACTATAAGCGTTTAAACACAAACACACCGAATTTATTCGGGTAGTGCTGGTATAAATATTGTGCGTTATCGGTGCGTGATAATAAATGACGGCATAAATTAGTCGCGGCGTTCGTTTTGTTTAATTATAGTACTGTACACAATCGTTCGCACACACATTCTCCGGATAGAGACACATGGTCACATGGACACAAGTGTAACTAAACAAAATGGCGTCTGGTGTCTGCTATTTACATAAATTGTGGTTTTATTAACAAAAATCGAATGTACTTTGTTCTACAACACTAAATAGAACAAAATTCCACTACTTTCACATTGGATCATAAATATTCAAGTGATATTAATTAAATAATCATTGATTAGGCGTAAAATTACATAATTAATGTTTTTTTGTCATCAACTTAAAATAACGTTAAATTATTACAAAATTATCTAATTTTATTTAAATAAAAGTGTTAAAAACTCACTAAAACCTTTTTTCTTTAATTTTTCGAAAACCGGAAAGCCGTAAAATTAATATTCGTATAGTATAAAAATCAAAATCTTAACCGCCGTGGACAATTCTTATGCATAAACACGATACTAAATTTAAAATAGCAACACAGGTCATCAAATCTAATTATAATTAAAGTAGGCGAAATTACACCTGCATAAAACGCACATGTTCCACTAATTTCATCAAAAACATTAAACCATGTAAAAAAATGCCGAAAATATGCATAATAATCGTGTTATTTTGTAAAATAATTCTGTATATGTACGAAATTTGCATTAATATGCAAATGTGTTGCGACAACTTACTTAATACAGGATGAAATTATCACCCAATAATAAATATTTGCTCATCTAATAGAACAGTGTCTTTCCTTTTGTTCAAGACATTGCATCATCCTGAATGCAAGTAAACAGAGGCGTATTAAAACAAAATATTAAAATCACGCGATAAAAAGGAGGAATTTCTTTCTTAATTTGATATTTTACGACGGCTCCTGCAAGTGAGGAAGCGTCTGACCTTGACAATACACATATTAATCACATTATTTCAATACGTACGTCATGCACCACACACAGCCACTAACCACAAGTCGTTAATTATTCAAACTCTTGTTGTTTTAAACGCATGTATGCTTCCTTGCTGGAAATTATGGCTTTGGGTGCACCTAAACATAGTCGTTGAAAATTTCGGTGGCCTAGTTTTAGTCAGTAATTTCCAATTTCCAAAACGCGCCAAACTTGAGCGCCAACCAAACACGAACCGTTCGGCGTGTGTTCGGACGTATTATGTTAATAAACGATGTTGAAGTTATTGATTAAATAATAGGATGCGAGCGTGTTACATAATTTCGCCCTCAACACCAAACAAAAATATTTACGTTTTAATTTTTTTCCATTTTTTACTAAATTAAAATGCCACACAAATATTTATAAATTTGTCCTTTGATGTTGAAATGTCAACGAACATTGTTTTTATTAAATTTTTTTGTTATTTATTTGTTTTACAATGATTTGAATTTGGAAATATTTGATTATTTAGATTGTGATCTATTTCGGTTGGCGCTGGTGGTGAAATGAAAGTGAAACTAGGGCGACTCACCCTCTTCACTTGAAAGTTATCCTGGCGGAGCGTCTCCTGCACGACCTCCTGGTCGGTGCGCGTCGGCTGCGTCACCGACGTCCGAAAGGTGTCCAAAACGCTGCGGATCGTAAACTTCTTCATTGCGCATTCGTCAATGCGTCTTCGCGATCGCCCAGAGTCTCATTGCAGCATTGCCCAAGAATAAAATCAGCCGCCACCCAGTCAGTCACTCAGTCACTCGGTCACTGACATAACCGTAATCACAATTAGATTATAACAACTTTCTGACGTTACCAATCAAAGTTTTAAAGTTTTTTTTTATATTCTGCTTGGGTTTTTCTGCTTGTTGATATTATTGAGATTGCTGACAAACGTGTGTCAGTTGATTCGGTGAGTGCTACGCGCTTTGCCACGGAGTTGTTTGCGTGCGAACACTTTTCGCCGGATTTTTCAGGTGTCGTACTCGCGACGATAGAGAGAAAGTGTGTGCGTGTGTGTGTCGGGTTGCTCCTGCTGATCGGACTCAGCGCTGGTCGCGAACTTGCGGGGCGACGTGCCTCCGCGTCAAAAACGCTGCGCTGCGACCTGCAACGCGGCGACGACGACTCTGCGCGTGTGCGCCGCCGGCGCGGGAGGTGTCGATACCGCCGCCGCCGACCTGCCCCCGAATCTAGCGCGCCGCGCTGCAGGAAAATGCGCGCCACCGTTCGGAGAAACTCTCAAGTGCGATTATTTCGCTCTCTTTCTCGCGCACACAACACACACTTACGCATGGACAGAATATGCGGTCCGTCTACTTCGTCGTCGGTTGGAGTTACTGAACATGCAGGAAAACAACTACACAGATTACTACAGCTACGACTACAAATTAAAATGTCTTATTTGCTACGCGTGCTACGGATGCGCCTCGTTCTGGATCATTCCTACTGCAGTTTGTTATTGTTCAACAAGCACGACTGTCAATTGTTGACTGATCGATATGACAGTCAGTCGGCCACATGTTGCGCATGCGCGATGCGCGTCCGCACAGCGAGGTACGACTCGACTGGGAATTTGTATCACTTTCGTACGACGCCTGCAATTTTATTCAATTGTTTAATATAAATCATTTTAAAACTTTTACGTACTTACTGTTGAATGATAGATGTTTCCGTAGTGATTTTTAAATAATGAAATAAACTCAGGACAAAATGTCTTGTCAAGATGTAATTTTTTAAAAATACAAATTTTTGTTAATTTATACGCTTGTCAGTTCAGAACAATGCACAAATTCTTCTACTTTCAATATTTCTTTTTAAATAGTAATGAATTACTTAAAACCCATTATATTCAAAGATTTAATACTTTTAAATATTATATTTAATTTACTCATAGAAGATTAATTATTAATGATTTTTATAGGTATTTTGTGATTTAAGATGTTATTAGATAAATAAAAGAATTAATGGTTTTATTATTTGAATAATACTTTGACGAGTATGCCCGATCTTTACCGGCTTGTGTGTTTTATCCGCTTCCGCACTAAACAAGTGCGGCGCTAGAAGCGCAGTAGATTAATGGCGCAGGTTGCAGCGCAAATGGCGCGACTGGCGCGGGCTGCTTGGCTCCTCAATTAAACACATAATGCGGTAAATTCTTTAATAAATACACAAGCAGATACCGAATAATGCGCCGCGCAAATTAGTTCACATTCCATTGTAGCGATCGTTCGGTGGAATGGTTTCTACTCGCGGCTTGAAACTGAAATTTTTAGAAGGCGAGAAAGTGCTATGTTACGAGCCCGATCCAACAAAAGCTAAAGTGCTCTACGAATCCAAGGTAAACACACAAAAAAAGTATTATCACAGGTGTTTATTTGTGAACTCGTAGGTCAAAGACGTGATCGTAAAAAAGGATGACAAAGGGCGCAAAACTGTCGAATATCTCATTCACTTCAGAGTAAGCTTATATTAACCTGTTTCAATTTGTTAGTGTTTGTTTATGTTGACATTTTAGGGTTGGAATCCTTCATGGGATCGATGCGTCAGTGAGGAATTTATCCTGAAGGATACCGTAGAGAATAGGCAACTACAACGCGATTTGGCTCAAAAATCAAAACTACAATTGTAATTTAATTTTTTTTTTAATCTGATCAAAATTGATTTTTATTTTCATTTTTAGCGGTTCTTACTTGTACCGTAAGGAACAAAAAAAGAAAACTAGTCCAGTTTTACCAGATGATGGAAGTTGTGATAATGTCGTGATGGAGGAGGAGGATGAAAACCAAGAGCTGACAAGCTCAGAGGAGTCCTCTTGTGAGGAAGACACTATTCCACTTGAAGTTACCCCAGAATTGAGAAAAATATTAGAAAACGACCACCGGCAGATACACGAACGTAATAAACTGCATCGCCTGCCAGCGCTACCATCTGTAGTAACCATTCTGGAAACATATTGGAAGTGTTACATCAACAATCAGAAGTTGCTGTCAGAAAAAGGCAATAATCGCGTGCGGAACGGCACTAATGGACAACGCGAGAAAATTAAACCAGAAGTATTGCAGAAGAATATCAATATTGTTCAGGAGTTTCTTGATGGGCTAAGGATCTATTTCGATTTCTGTTTGCCGGACGTTTTGCTTTATAACGCAGAACGAGGGCAGACAGATTTTAAACAAGCGCAAGTTGCTGCGCCACATCTTAAAATTAAAACCGAGTTGTAAGTACTAACATTAAACGAAATAATCATGAATATATTGATTTGTTTTTTTTTATTTTAGTGTAAAAGTTGAAAATTTCGATGAATCTCACGAGTTTACTCAATTTACAAATACCGAAGAAGACGAGCAAAATAACGACGGTGATGCATCAACCCGACCAGCGTCAAGACGACGTTCATTACGCTCTTACCGAAGTCTAGACACTAATAGCAACGGCAGTGTCCACTCGGATTCATCAGTTGGTAAACCTGCCAGGTAAGTTTTACTTATCTTAATTATTTACAAAATGCATTCTTTATTATTTTTGTTTTGTAGCGGTAATAGCGCTGATGTAATCAGTCCGCTCTTCAAAATTGCAATGTGGAAGGCACTTCCCGACTACGTCTATGCGCAGGAACCCAAACCGCCATGTTTACAATATGGCGCTACCCATCTCGCCAGGCTCTTTGGTAAAAATTACAATAATTTATAAGTTATATGTGAAATTTGAATATATTATTTGATCCACAGTGAAATTACCAGAACTATTGTCGAGCACACAAATGCCCGAGAATAAGATGAAGGTTTTGATAACACACTTGGAAAGTTTCATGGCGTAAGTTTTCAAATATTTATTTCTATTTCTTTGTTAAAACTTTTGTTTTTAGATTTTTAGCTGAACATAAGGAGTGGTATACGGACGATGTCTATATTCACGGACACAAATAATTTTAAAAGGTAAAATCTTGTGTAAAAATATTTTAATTTACTTTTAAACTGTCTCATCTTACTATTTATTGTAATATTTTATTTAATGCTGTTGCAAACAAAATAAACGCAATCTCAGTGATATCCGTTTTATTTGGTAACAAAATCGAAGATATAATTATTTCATATGTGTTACATTGGTAATAAAGTAATACAATAAATAATTATTTATACGGATAAATCGATACAACGACTTAAAACGAATGGTTAATCATTCTTAAAACATCTAAGAATATAAATTAATGTATGTAAGCTTCACTTTTCTATTTTATATCTTCCTGCATATGAAACTTACCAAACTAGATTAGAAATTAATTAGGGAGTTAGTCTTTAGTCAGTTAAATCACTTTAACATGAAATATAGGTTATGCTTATATACTACAAAATAATAATGGGTGATGTTGGTTGCCTAGTGTTATTGTCCCGCCATGTAGTCTAAATTATAAGGTTTAGTTCACCAGTAGCAGTTTAAATCTTTTAGAGTCTATTTCATATGTGCGGCAAATTCAGTATTGAAAGCAATTTCCTAAGATGACTAGGTAGACAACGTTTGCATCGGTAATTATACTCGTATAGTTATTGCATAAATTTTATCACCAACATTTGCGGACGGATTTGTAAACCTTAATTCGTAAAAAAACGCATACGTACATAGTTTAACGTCCTGATCTAAAAGGCAATGTGCTTTTGGTAACAGTCGGAGTGGTAGTTTTTGTAGAACTGGATGTGGTGGGTTTCATAAACGATGAACTTGGTCTTGGTGGCTTTACATTGAGTCCACTTCCATTTGTAACAGTACCCGTTCTAGTCGAAGTTAAAGGAGTTTTGTTAAGCAATGATCCACTTGTGGATTTAATGCTTGGTACACGAACCAAGCCGATTTTGTTCGATATATTGCTTCCTGTTGAGGACTTTAATGGCGATACACGTTTTACGGTATTCGTGGAAGTGGCACTATTCAATGAACTTCTTGAACTCACAATTGAGTTTCTCGAATTTGATCTTTGTACCGAAGGCTTTCTTGAAGAAGAGTTTGATGTGGAAGAGTCACGTCTTAAACTTGACGTACGCCGTGGTAATGTTGCGGTTTTATGTAATGGAGAAGTTGGAGATGTCCTAGTAGACGCTGTTCTATCTAATCTGTTAAATTTCTGCACTAAATTTTGAGTTTTACTTTCGCGTTGTGATTTTATCAAAGATGGACGTTCGGGTGTTGCTCGTTTATTAATTATCTTCGGAGTGCTGGGTTTTTCTTTCTTAGCGCTTGTTTCCTGCGGATCTGTCTCGTAGTTCCCTGAGGAAGCCCCTTGGCTAGGGGATTCTGACATGAGACTTTGGGTTTCTTCGAAACCTTCATCATTTTCTTCTTTTGCTGACAACTTCTTTTCTAATTTCAGTTTATTATCTTTAGTGATACTCTCCGGTGTTGTTTTCTTATCAATCGCCATCTTAATTTCAGTTTGATTGATATCAGTAAGGTTTCTTAATCTTTTTCTAGGTTCTTTAACTTCTTTATCTTGATTTGTCATGGTTAAGTCTTTAGAAACAAGTCTTTCCTTCCAGTTCTTTAATCTTGTATCTTTATCATAATGCACTTCTGGTTGAACAGTCTCTACACTGGTTTCAATCTGATGCACCGGTGTTTTTTGTGTTTCTACAACCGCCTCAGTTGGTTCCTGCTGTTCTTGTTGACGTTTATATCGTCTGGTACGCCTAGCAGCTGAAAACCGATCGAATTGACCATCTCCCAATGATAATGTAGCATCCATCTCATCTGTAGGTCTACACTGAGTTCTCCTGCAAGGCGTAGGTGCAACTGGTTCACGTTTATCTACTGGAGTAGGTGTAAACACTCGCCTTGTAGCTGGAGGTGTTTCAATGTTATCTTGATCAATCTCTACTTTATTACTGATGTTTGGTGATGAGGAAGTGGCTGTTACATCAAACGATTCTGTTTTTGTCATTTTTGTTGGTGGTGGTGGCGTATCGCTAGGTTTGCGGATATAAATTGTCAGCTTATCAGTAGCTGGACGTCCCCCAAGCAAACTAATTAATTCTTTGCGTTGATTCAAATCTTCTGTTGCTTCTATAGGAGGCGAATTGATAGGAGTGATTGATTTATAGCGAATTGAATTCTCTTTCGTTTGTTCTGTGCTGTTGGCAACGTTGAGATTGGACTTACGCCAAGCTGATTTGTCCTTGAATTGTGGCTGGACATCTTCCACAGTCTCCATTGCCCCGACCACATCAGTGCGATCGATTGTACTGGAAGGTTTCCAATCGGGATGAACTTTCCTGTACGTATTTTGACTCCCAGAATAAACCTGTTTACCTTCTGGTAGAGTATCAAGGGTGTTACTTCTATCACTTTCCGAGTCTACCTCTAATGATCTACGGTTTGCTTCCCGTCTCTTTTGTATACTATCATCTTTCTCGTTTGCTTGCAACCAGGACTCAATCTTTTGCCTCCACTCTTTTGGTTTTTGTTCTTCTGGAGTATGTGCATGTGCACTTCCCAAACTATGAGGTTGGTCGGGAACAATTGGCTTGCATTCACTCAATGGCGATGGACTTGAAGGTCTTTCTCTATCAGAAGCAAAATCAGCTCCTAACAATGCAGGTCTCTTTCTGAAAGATCCACGAGCTCTCCTTGCCCAGGACCTATCCAGACTACCCCAAGATTTTCTTTCTCTACTAGCATCGTTTCCAGAAGTCCTTAGGAAGTCCATTAAACTACCTTCGTCCTCCTCAGTCATAACACGACTTTTACGTCGTCGTATACTACCCGTTGGTGTGATATCCGGTGACTTTTCGTCTCCTCGACCAAAGGAATCACTATTATTACCGTTGAAACTACCCAGTCTCCTTCTGGTAACCGAAGGTGATCCTTGAATAGATAACTCGTCTTCAGAAGTCATAGCTGATGAAGTCGTTGGAATTCGTTTCTTCCGTTGGGGGTAACCGGGTCGATTGTCGTAGATTTGCATGTCGTATGCTTCGTTGTCAGGTGTCGTTGCAGCTAAACTTTCCACTAAACAAAAAGAGATCATAGCCTACTATATAACTCTAATATAAATAATGGTTAACATACTTTGTCGTCGTTTAGTTGCGAGCAATTCTTCTCTTTGTCGTCTTCGCGCTTGAGCCTGTTCTTCTTGAACACGTCGTCGTTCGTTTTCCAATAACGCTTGTTTGAACTTACAATAGAAAAGATGGAAGATACGGAAGCATTCCTCGAGTTTAAAACAATTGACGTCTTCACAAAAGAAATCCGCGAGATTTTTGCGCACGTTTTCCAACTGGCCCATTACTTGCAGTAAATTGGTGACTTCGTGTTCGGCCATTTGCAAAAAATCATGCATTTGTTGTTTAATATCCCACTCCGTGTTTGGTAATTCAATTTGTTTCTTTATCTTGCGTATTCGCGCTTCTAATGTGTTTATTTCATTGTGTAATTGATCAACTGTATTCCTATAAAACAAATTATGAAAATAAAATAGAACATTTTTAAGGTTAGTTTTTGTTTAAACAATTTTTACTCACTTTGCGGCATCTTCTAAGATATTTACATTATCCGTGAATGATAACAAGGATTTATTACGTTTTTCTGCTTGCTATAAGAAGAATAATATACAAAAAATAAAAAAGCGAAATAACGTATTAAGAAAATATTACCAGGGCAACAAAATGAATCAAATTCATGTTGGGTTTATTGGCACGAATATCCGTAATCTTCTGAAGTGAAGACAGTTTTACTCCAGCAGCATCACCCGCATAACCACCCTATCAACATAACCTTATTTTAAACACACTTTTGGGGTTACGATGGAAAACTTACAGAATTAAGGAAGTTGCCAGATACAAGAATCATATAAAGCACTTCTTGAAGAGGTTTATTTGTCATAAGATCTGGAAACATAAAATTTATTAAATTAAAATAAATGCGTTTAAGTAAGGTTATGTACCTTCAGCTGCAGCTATCATCGCATTGATGCTTGGTTCGAGGTAACCCATGTTGGAAGCAAACTCTTCTTTGAGGAGCATACTTTCAATTCGTAACTTGTAACTGAAATTATTTTGAAATAATTAGATAACATTAGATATCATATTAAATTATTTCTTATACTTTGGAAGACTAGTAAGTTGTAGCAAAAACTTTTCCGCGTTGCCCAGTTTTTCAAAATCACCATCAAAGGATGTCAACATGTCAAGTTCATCTATTTCCGGGAGAATTTTTAATAGACCTTTCAGTTTTTCTGCTCCAATTTCATCATGTTCGCCATTTTTTACCATTTGGATAATATCCGCATTAGAACTGCAATATAAATATTTTAAAAACATTTTTTGTTGGTCAACTGATATCAACATACCTTCTAAATTGTTTTAAAAATATATTCACGTTTAAACTCCTCTTGCCATCTAAGAGAGTAATCTGAAATTTAAAAAATAAGTTTTAGTTGTTATTAAATAACATTTTGTAATAATATTACTTCTGATGTTTCTTTCCGTACTCTTCTATCTGTAACATCACTAGTGGAAGCAGTCGAATCCCTATGACCCATTCGAGGAGAATTCTGCGCAGAAGTCGAATTATTCTGCTGACAAAATAACCCTTCCATTTCACTCCAATCCATATCCGCCATTGGGGAATGTTCATGGTTAAAAGCCAGCTGTGTCCACACATTGTTACTCCCCACGACTTTATTACTCGGAATTTTATTCCAGTTGATAGTCTTCATTTTAATCTTGGGTGCTGGTATCTCCTGTTGCGGCAGTTTCCTCACCATTACATTTTCTTGATGATAGCTTGTTCTATCATCTCGTTTGGGCAACAATTGTGGCATTGTTCCAGAAGGAACAGGAGGAGCTATATTTGGTGGTGGTGGCGGTGGAGGCGGTAGCATACCCGAACTTAATGGAGGTGGTGGTGGAGGTGGTCCCGGTGGGGGAGGCGGTGGACTCGATGGACTTGAATTAATACTTGATCTACGTTGATTTGCTTCCGATTTTTGATGCTGGCAGTGTTGACAAAAAAACTTATTCTGTACGCTTGGTGAGCGTAGAAGTCGAGAGGCATCATCTTGATTCTCCAAAAGGGTAGCGCGGTGGATAAGGCGTTCCGCTGCATCCCAAATAATGTCACTTACTGGTTCTTTGGGATCAATACGAAGAAGGTGTTGAAGTATGGCGAGAAATGGTATTTCTTGTGGTGTTTCCGCAACTTGTTTCAAAATTGCATAAAATACATCCAATGGTGAGTTTAGGTCCACACCATGTGGACCTTGCATACTTTGTGCTTCATCAGAATCACGTTGCTCGTCAAAAACGTCTAATTGGACAGCTAATTCCGGTTCTGCTTCAGCACATTTTCTAAAATAAATGTTTTTTCAATTTTTTTAAACTTTGGATCGTTGTTTTGGACATATAGTAAAATTCTTATCACAAATGAGTAATAGGTACATATGAATCATTTTGATTACTTCATAACGGTTTAATGCTCACCTGAGGTTATTCATCACCGGAAGCAAGTTACATCCTGCGTACAAAGGAAACATAAGTCAAATTTGGTCAACACAAATTAACACCATAAATTACGCACCTATAAATTCATTCCGAAGACGAATACGATCGGTGAGTCGCGGTGTCGAGATGATTAAACAATTCACAAACGCTACCAGCGCTGTTTGATAATCCACAGCATTTGAAAAATCCAATTCTTTTACGATTAACGTTAAACGATAACGTTCACCTTTTAATTTCTAAAAAAAATATTTTTTAACATTAAATACACTTTTTATATAAAAATATATTAAATACTCTGTAATGGTCTAGTGTTTCGATTGCTCGTGCATGTCCTTGCTCGTTATACACACAAAGGGCAGATAACAACTCGAAGACTTGTTTCTTCACAGCAATATTACTGGTATCCAACGCTGCCGCCAATTTTCGCACATATTCCGGATTCTCAACGATGAAATCCAAACCAATTCGTGAATCCATTTTATTTAATTAAAATTTTTAATTAAATGCTTTAAACTGCAACACACAACTATTATAATTGAAATATGCTAATTTAAAATTTGATTAATCAATCGCGCACGAAATAATTATTAAATGTTTTCTTCGCGAGCGTGATTTGTGCGACTCATGCGAGCGTATCGAGCACTCTGCAGGACGCAGGACGCCTGCCAACTTACCAACTAACATTAACATCCAGCGCAAGTATGTTGGTTCGTGGCGGCGAAAAACATTCGATTGTTCCGAGTTACAATCCTGCTCAAGTAAATTTAGTAAACATTCCTTGCAGTGTACCCTAATGCGTTAATTCTTATCGGACTTATTCAGCACTAAGGATTTCTTGTTGCAATTTTAGTTGAGTGTAATTTCTTGCATAGTTTAAGTTTATATTTATGTGGGTGTGTGGATGAAAAGGGAATAAATTATTATGCGGAACTGGAACTCAGATTTCTATGTGGTAGTGAAGCGTAACCGGCGAGCGTTTTGCGTTTATTGATCTTTTTACGGGCGAAATTTCCATTTCGTTTGTCCTCAATTTCGCTTTTCTTTTATTACGGTTTCTTATTGTGTACAATTGTATTAATTTGAATTTATATATTTTAATAAGCTCTGACGTCACAAGTTTGTATTTTGATATTTGTAATGAATCACAAGTCGATTTATTGATATTTGCGCTTGCAGTTAACACCGACTAGGAGAATATTTATCATGTCTACTTTAACGTTCAATAAACTGTGTCAAAATATGCAGGGAACATGTCCATCTCGTTAATAGTCGTTTAAATTCAGCAAATTCCATTAAAAATGTCCGTGAAATAAATTTTATTACTTAAACTCAGCGCAATAAACCAGAAAACAAACACAAATAACAAGTGAAAACTTTTCGATAAATCTACGCATTAGTAAACACATTATTAACATGGCTGCCGTACAAGTACAAATTGCATTCGTACGAAAGTTCACCCCAGATCGAAATTGATGATAGAACACGTGTAATTGGATATTTATGGTGCAACTCGTCGTGATTATGGCAATGCATTTGAATATCATATGCGATATTGCATCTTCCGGCCGAGAGAAAAGCGCAGTAAGTAAAGTTTGTTGCTCGAATGTGCATTTAGTGCTTGTCAGCCGCTTGCCTAATATGTACACCTAAATACTTCGTGTCTTTGGCCACGTACGCCGCTGCCACCGGAGGCACGAACCGAACAGGAAGACGACGGACATCTGAAAATTGCAATTTGAATTCTAATATGATGAAAATGCACAATTCTACTTCCGTTGAATTTCAATTTCATTCTTCCATAACTGGAATTTTCAAGTTTTATTTAAAAAAATTAAATATTGACTTTTTAGTGAGCATATAACAATTATAGTTGTGCAAGTTTAAAAACCTTCTAAATTATTAAACAAATAAACAAACCAACGATTGGCACTCAAAATATTTACTTTATTTTATTATTCATCATTCCAAAACTTGACCACTTGAAATATGACGAATAAAATCAAACCAGACGCTCGAATAATAAAAAAACCTGGCGCCATTAATTGATTATACCTTGGTCGCCATTTTTGATAAACTAATTATATTAGATAATTTAAAATTTTATGAAATTAATGGATATGTGTCGCAGATTTTAATTTTTATATATCCATATTTTTAATTTTTAATACCGCAAGCGCACAAATGTGCGGTGCCACGCTTAAAATGGCGTTATTAGATCATCACCTTGGACTGATTCTTCCCAATTTGGTATTATCACTTCAATGCAGGCCGCGGGCGCACACATCGCGCGAATGTGTCTAGTTCACACATCGATGCATTTTTTCTTCTTGGTTGGTCTCAGCATCAACAGGAGACACTAATTAAACATTCACGAAATATTACAGCATCATGCGTTTCAAATTAAACACACTGTAGTTAGCAAGCATAAGTTATACATTCTGTAAAAGAAAATGGAAACTGACATATGGGCATAAATCCGAGACGTAAATAGAAGTAGCACTGATTGATCAATACTCGCTGATAGTCGTAAGTCGACATTGGACTGATCGAAGGTTAGGTTACCATCTTTGCTATTACAAAATAAATTAATTATTTATTGATTTTTTATTGGAAAACAAAATAAAATTTTATTTCTCTGCAATAATTTTCAAAAATATATTTATATTATTTACAATGAATAAGATATTTTGCAGAAATTTATTGTTTAGTTGTTAAAAAATTAGATTTTAGTTTATAATTTTTAAACTCGCGGAAAAACGTTTCGATATTTATCAAGGTGTTTAGTAAGCATTTTGTGCAGCAACCAAGCGATTACAATAATGTATGTAATATTGTCGTAAATTGCGCGGTAAATTTATTGGAATTGACGGAAACACAGCTCGTCGCTGGTTTTATAAGGGCAACAATAAGAGTGTTGTATAATTAGCGGATAATTAGTGTTTGCTCAACTGGTTATTATTCAAATTAAGTTTGAACAAGACTAACTCCATGCAATCAACAAGTATCATCGAGATTTTAAAAAATATATTTAAGTAAACAAAACTTTATGCAAATTCAAACAAATGCAAAATAATTTTAAAGAAAAGCATAAATAACAAAAGAGAAAAGGTCATATTTCACGGAGAATTAAAGTCATTTTGTTGTGAATTTAAAGTCATCATTGGAAATTAGTAAAAAACATCATAAAATGCAAGAAAATTTTATTGTTTTAATGGAATTCACTTAATATAGTGCCATTTGTGTTTTATTAATAGAAAATCATAAATATATATTGACTTATAACAATTGCAAATATCATTTCTGCAATTCAATGCCATAATTGACACATCTTCATTTACCGCCAATTTTAAAGATTGTTTTATTACTCATTTAGCAAAATATTAACAAAACTTGATTATTACTGTCACATCCTGTATGTATTTTAGTAATTAAGTAAGTTGTGCAACATACTTACTATTCCTACAATTCACTAGTACCCAGTAATTGTCATATTTGTTTATTGACTGATACACGTTGTGCATTTATGCAATTACTGCCGTCGGTGTCGTGTCGATACGCTATCATTATCTCAATTATCTCATAAGCAAACCGCTTATTAAACAAACAAAAAGAATGTAGGAAATCCTCCAGCATTTGTATAGCATATTCACTGAAAGAGAATTTATCGCATTTTCGTGCGCAGAATGCAAACTTTTATGATCTGCCATTTTTGTATTTCCGCTATCAATACAAAGTAAATAGTAGTAAAATAGTAAAATTCACAGGTAAACATAGGAAACCAGAAGGAAACATATGCGTTGAAATATTTATTCAACTCAACGACAATGATTTATAGGCAAATAGAAATCGATGTCTCGATAAGTGATAATCTACACTTCAAATAGGAAAACAAAATTAAAACGCGCATAGAAATTTGTTTAATATTTGCTGCTTATTATGTCTTTGCTGTTTGCGAGCAAATTTATATTGATTTTATCTACTCAGATATATGAAATTTAAGATGTCAATTGTGTTGGCTTGCTGGCAATCGACACTCGGCAGCGTTTGTTTGCAGTTGTTCGACGAAGAGTTTGCAAAACGCGTGAGCGTCAAACGACGCCATTCGATTCAAGGAAACGTAACGCAACATCTCACATCATGATACGATCCTCATTAAACTACACGGGCATGAATCACATGTGTGTTTTTTTGTTTTAGAAAATTGTCTATGAACTTGGATCGAATCATTTCAAAAATTTTATAAAAATTTACAATTTTCATGCCTTGGTGATCAAATCATTAAATAATGACGTTATTATTCAATGAACAGCGCCATCTGGTTAGTATTTTTATGTCAACTTCACGCCTCATTGGACTTGTGAGTTGTTGTTTGCTTTGGAGTCCTCTCTTCGAGAGGCCAAGAGAAAGAAGCATAAATATCGCGTTACATCACATTAGCACCGCCGTCATATCGCACGCTACTTGCGCGTTTTCCCATTGTTTGCGGGCGGTCTAATGACCGCCGAGTGTAAATCGATAAATGTTACTTATTGTGCGCGCCGCGAGTGTGACATTTCGTGCGATGTGAAATCAAACGATGAATAAACCCGTAACTCACCACAATGGCGCACGAGTGTACTTAGCTTATGCTTTATCGCTCGATTTCATCACTAAGCAAGCTGAAAATATTTTTGAAAAAAAAAATAATTTTCCAAAAATATAAAATAACAATTTAAGCTTAGATATAGATTAACATCTTGAAATAAACTCCCAGGTTATAATTTAAGCGTGTGCCGTGCGTAGGTGCATCGGTCGAGTTTCGAAGCGTTTTGTTGTTTCGCCATTTTTTCAAGATTGCCACATGTGCGCAAACAACATGGCGTCGGGTGTCTAACAGTGTAACTGAGACAGGCGGCTATAATTTACGAATCGCCAACATCACATCCGAAGACACACCAACATTTACCCACGACAAACCGCAAGAAAACCTTTAGAATCAAATAGTGACTGCAGTCATACGCTTAGTCATCACAACTTTTTAGTATAAAGACTCTAAAGTATAAACCTTTATTTTTAGAGTTTTTAGATGGATTATAATTAAAACCGTTTAAATTTTAAAATCGATTTACACGGAAATTATGCCCTTAAGAGAATACGAAACGTTTTAATCTTGTTTCGAATGTAAGAAGAGCTTTAATGAAATGTTTTGTTATTTTATGTCCATGCTGGTGATGAAATGTGCGGGTCGTAATTGTATAATTGGATACAAATTGAAAGAGCAAGCGTCGTCTTGCTTGCAGGTCAGATGTGCGTACTGTGTCGGGGCCTAAGCAATAAAAGTAATTCTAATTGGTATAACTCGCTCGTTAAAATTTAATGACTGCTTTTATCGTTCAGGTTCAGCTTGGCAAACAACGAATGAAACAAGACAATTATAATCTATTTTGTATAAAATTTTGGGGCGAATTATTTCGACTTTTCAAATTTAAATCATTTCTGCCTGAAATTAAAAAGTTTTACGTGTTGACGTATTAAATATGTTAATGTTTTGTTATGTATGAAAGCTTTTAGCTGATCCGACAGACGGACACGGAACATTTAACTAATCCCCAGATTTCTTGCTCCAATTATGCACGATTATCAATTCAGATTTAACAAATCGACGGTTTCCGACATCCACAGCCATGATTGCGACATCGCATACATGAAAACGTTTGTCTACACCTTGCATAAATTAATAATAATCAGACATACATATATCACATTAGCCAGATCGACTGCTCAATGCAATTTCAATTTCATATTCAAAAACTATATTCAAATTGCATACGGGATTATGTAATGTTAAGATATTGTGTTGTAATTGTTTATAAATCTGATACATTTAAATATGTATTTAATTTGGGTAGGTACATAGACTATTATCGGGAAAGTACGAAACTGGAATGATATTGAACTTTATTGTTTAGGCAGTAAAATAACATATTTGTACCGAAACTCATAGATCAATAATATAAAAATGAATCGCAAAATCTGTTAGTAAGCGCATAACTCAACAACGCCTAGACCAATTTGGACAATTCTTTTTTTAAATATTCGTTAAAGTTCAAGGATGGTTTTTACGAGAAAAATTCGAATAATTGCGGGAAAAACCCTAAAGACAGCCCTTTTCTATAGGATAAAAGTTGGCATTGAGATTCATTCACAGTTATAGTTAAATAGTTGAATCCGAGATGGCACGTTGAGGTGCATTATTAGCAATTCTTTATTTAATTAATTTTTTTTAATAAAATTGCGAATCTTATTGATAGAATTGACTCATACTATGTCTAGAACAAGAGAGGAAAACCGAATTACATTTTTATTAATCACTAGCGGCACGATGTCGCGGGCAAAAGCTAGTTATAAATGAAAATGAGTTTTATTGTTTGTTTGTGACGCTGTCACGTAAAAACCACCGAACTAGTTTTGAAAGATTTTAATATAAAGATTTATTTAACCAAGGAAAGGCATATAGTGTATTTTTTGTCGCCGAAATGTAAATATAGAATGTAAAATAAGAGACGAAAGTTGATATTGAGATTCAATCATAGTAATTCATCCCACGCCATCCTGGCGCTAACGTTCTTTATTAGAATTTTTTATTTCTGAAATATGAAACAAATTGAAACAAAATCATTTAATAATAATTAATTTAAGACAACATTTGTTGATTAAGCCGTACAAAATATTTAGGAACTGCTTGTTTTGGGTAAACGTATATTTTTGATCTATTAAAATTAAATATTAGCAAGTAATCCGATATTAAAACGAGAAACTTATGTTGCATGTAATAACATAAAACTTTTAATATATTTCTATAATGTTATAATAATGTCGGTAACATGAAACGCGATTTTTAACAAGAATTTACATAACTCAGTGTAAATTTTTATGCAACGAAATTTATTAATGTTTGCTCAGTGTCGCGGTGTCGCATTACATTTTCGAAAATATCCTGATATAATATATTCGTATAATAAATTACTGCCCGCCTAATTTCAGATTTATGAGCCATTATGCGATGAATTAGGAAATCCAATAATCATAATTAACGTCATTATACGGCGTACACAATCCATTACAATATAATACACTGATCTGCGCGCGCTTAGCTGAATGCGAACTGGTTACTCTCCTAATCAAAATCTAATAGGAACACTAATCTAATTAACATGCAGAAATGTATTCAGATAGCGAATGCAGCCAGTGTGGAAGTGGGAGAGTGATAATATGACGATTAATAAGCGTTATAATGGCGTGCGTTAATGTGTTTGTTATGATGTGCTATATTTGTCAGTTTTAATGGCTTAATTTTGTGAGGTGCATGTTGCACAGTGGTAAAAAAAGTAAATTATAAAGGTGAAGAATAATGTTTAATTAAATTAATATTAATATTAATGTAAATCGTCGCTCTTTTTTTTGCTAAATTACAGAAATTTTGTCATTTGCATATTTGTTGAGGTTTTTTATATTTTATTACACTTGAAAAGATCTCAAACAAAAACCAAATTTGAACGTTTAACACTTTTTGAAATGATTAAAATTGAAAAATTAAAATGATTAATATTTTATATTAAAATACTAGTAATTTCATCGTTAAAAATCTACAATTAGCCATTTACAACTTTCTTCATGCAGATATTTTTGCTGAAATTGTTAGTTTTGTTGTATTTAATTTCATTTTATTACATTTTTGTTTAAATTTATTAAACTCACGTAAAAACCTACTTTCCGTTTACACAAACTTAAACAAACTACAATTGTGTGCCTGTGTTTAGTGCCTTTGCACACCTCTGAATAGGACCGATCGGAAAAGTGACGTTCGTATTGTTGTTTTTACTTTGATTGATTTATTTATTAAAATAATGATCCACTTGGCAGTTGATAAAAGCCAAAATTTGTATTTTGTATTTCATGATACAAGTTTCCATAAAACTTTAAAAAAAAATTTAAAATTTAGAATTCAATAATACTACAATCAATTCTCAGAAACTTGATATAAATTCTTTTGACACAAAATGATAACAAAATTACAAGCAACTCTATAAACGTAAACTTTTAAAATTGCAATTATTATCCTTTTCGGTCCATAATCATACACATATCGAAATTGAAATATTGGCAATTCGATCCGAATTTGGATATTCGTTCAATTTGCAAATATGTAGCAAATTGCTACTAGCAATATAAAATATGAAACATGTAACATTCTCTTCGCAAAAAATCACATTTAAACGATATTGCGCGAATAAAAAAAGTATTATAATGACTTATAATAAATATGACATTAATGATAATAACGATAATACGAATTACGTTTGCGGCGAACGAAGCGAGCGCCCAAATATGGCGATGGCTCATTAATTAATAAATTAGTTTAATAAAATGCGCACAATATTACATTATAGGCTCAATGTCAACTTATTAAATAACTGAAACGTCAACCAAGAGTTTTTAATACATTCTGCAATGTTTTCTCTTTATGAATAATTAGACAGACATTAATACCGTCGTAAATCAGTTGTGGCGTAAACAAAAATGAAAGATTTATTGTAGATTAATTGAAGATTAAACTTACGTGATATTATAATCGTTGGATTTTCAATCGTTTTCCTGGGCGCACATTATGCGCGGGTAAAATTTCGTTTTCGTTTTCGCTTCGCCGTGAAATATATTCAACGACAATCGTGAGTCGTGGTCGCGTCCGGTCCCGCGTGCAGCGCTGCGTGCTCGCTCAGCCTCGCGTTCCTCGATGGTCGCGCGTTTCGGGACCACATGGGAATTGGGCGCACGTTTGCGCGCCAAGGGAGCGCCCTACGCGCCTCGCACGTCACGCAATGCGCTCTGCGCATGCGAAATAGCCCAGACCATCGAAAATCCCGCAACTTACACTGCACTCTCGCAGATCGCTGTCACACTCACACAATGTTTTACATAAAAGTTTACACACATTCAAAACAACTTAGAAAACTTTTTAAAAGTATTTTCAGCTTTTAAAATCGATTTAATAATTTTTTTAATTTTAAATTTTTTATTGTGAATTGATTAGGACCGGACGAACCGAACTGGCTCTCGTTCGCAACTACCGAACGAGTTGCAAGGCAGGCGAACACAAGCACCATGTGTGTGAGTGTCGTGTGGTTGTTGGCGATGGCGATGGCGTGGAGGACGGCCTTCGGACGCGATGCGATTTTCAACATTTTCAACGACGTTCAAACTTCAAACGACGCCATCGCCTGCATTGCAGTGCAGGCATGGACTCGTAATTACTATTTTCATAAGCCAATATGACCTCAACATTACTTAACATCATTTTGGGTAAGTACCTTGTGCGATTCTTCCAGAATTCAATATCGGGCTTATTAAGAGCAGCGCCTTCTGGTGTCATTTAATCAGATATTAAAAAAACATTTTACAATTTTCGATTTTTGTGTGTTTTTTTAATTTTGTTAATTTTTATTTTAAACCGGCCCTGATTGTATTTGCGTGCGTGTGTAAAATTTGCAATTGTTTGAAAACACCTGCTCGACGCGAGATGCACTCATTATTCGAAAGTTAATGATTTTAGTAATAAACATTTATGAGAATCTTACTTGGATTCTTCTCATCGCACAAAATTAATTAATAGGTACATAATTAAAAAGCACAAGGAAGAATGCAGTGTGAAGAGTTTGATAGTCTCTTAAAAACTTAACACAATTTTAACAAAACAAAAGCTTAAAATCTAAAATCTAACTAATTCATTAAAGCATTTTACCGTTATTTTAACACATAGTTTAGCATTTTATGATTTTTATTCAGTTAAATCCTTTTGTTTTATAAGTATATCGTATAAGATTTAGAAAATTGTTATTTTATTAATTGTTATATCTTATATATATATACAGAGGGTTTAAATAATTTTATTTGAAAATGGCGTATGTGTGAGGAGATGTGGTAATCGGCGTGATGATTCCAGCTGTTTTGCGTTTGCTTAAAGCTGTTTTAAATGCACTTTCACTCTCGGATTGCTTGGAAATCTAGTGCTTCGTCGCACTATAGCGATAAATAAATAATTTATTCGGTCTGTCATTTTGTTAATAATTGCGTAATTTACATACGACAATTGTTACTACCCACATAGCGCAACTCAATCACAACTCATATTTCTTAGTTTTTGGTTAATATCAGTCAATTTTTAGATGTAACTTGAACAGTTTTTTTTTTATCTTTTACAACTTATTAAATAAGTAACTAAATTTTTAGTCTTTCTGGAAGTGTTTTTGAATATTTTAATTTTGTGTACATAAAAATAAATACAATTTAGCAATCTTGATTTTCTTGATAAACCAGTAGTCAGTGGAAGATTGTTGAAGAGCGAAGATGTTTTTTTGCTGTGATTTTTTCGTAATTTATGTATCATGGGCGAATCACAACCGTTCGATGTGATTCGCACGTGGGACGAACATGTTTGTCAAGCCAACCTGCCACACTATCCGAAAAGACAGGTACAAACAAGTGAATTTATGAGAAATAAATAAAATTAATATTTAGAGCAGACAATATCAATATTTTTCCATGGTGTACATTGAAGAATACTTTTGCAACAATGTTTCACATTCATATATGATACGTCATGCCCAATAGTAAGGTTTTTAAATCGTGAAAAGTAATACTAATACTAATAATGTAGTCTTTGCTTCCTCAAAATAAGGAACTCTAAAGAGAACTGAATGGAGCTTAGAAATATGCGACCATGTTTTGATTGCTGCAGGCGCCCAGTTAAGCATGACTGCAACCCGCAAAAGGTAGTGGGTGAAACCTGGTTAACATTGAATCGATGCATTTCTTTAGTCCCTTACGCTGCCCCAACCTACCGAATTGACCACAGGTATGAAGAAGCAGTCTCAAATATAGTTATTTTTGCAGACTGACAAGAATACTGCCTTAAATGAAATCTAACAGCCAAAAATAAAATATTTTAAATAACCTAATTGAAGAATATACTTACTTAGTCCAATTCAAGTGCAATTCGTTATTCTTTTGGTAAAGTTTCGTCGCTTACACCGTTCGGTTATCATTTATTTAAAAAACCTCATGTTATGGTACGCAACCAAGTATGCACCTCACTAGATGCTAGGTTACTTGCAACTCGGATTAGAATAATTCCTACTTGCCTTGAGTAGTTAGCACTGGATAAGTGACAGGTACCAAAACGTATTTATTGTTTATTTACGTATAAACTCCAAATGATTGACATTTAACGAATGACAAGCAGTTTATACACAAACTATCTGCATTCCTGTCCATTTCATCTGCAATATAAGTTGTAACATAGCTGAATTACAAAATTTTAGTACTATAACTTGTAAGTATTGATTATAAATAATCTATCAATAATTCTAGTATAAGTATATTACTACAATCAAGATCCTAAATTATTAAATGAATCGAATTATAGGATTGTCACAGAATGGCTGGTTGTGTGCCATGTTTTATAATTCCACTGCTTCTCTTCATTTTCCATCGATACATTCAACCTATTCTACTAAAATTCTGGAATCCATGGGAGAAAAAAGTTGAAGGGGTTGATGGCCAAGTGGCAGAAGACACTAAAGCCAAGCAAGATCTTAATATGCAGTGTTTATCAAACTGGTCATGCCCTTGTGCTGTTAGAAAAGACCCCACTGCTACCAGCCAGAATGAAACTGCAGAACCAGTGGAATGTAAGAAAACAAATTGAAGAGGTAAAAACACTGAAATATCAAGAATCTACTAGCGTTTTTATCTATAAAGGTTCAATTGTGGTCAAATGAAGTTTATTATTTGACAAAATATTCTTGTTAGCTTAGTTAAATGATTGATGATAAAGGCACTATTGCAACCTGTTTAATTTGAAATCCTCAACACTAAGAAGTTTTTGGTTTATTATGGGTATTGTGTGTATAACTATACAAACTAGCTATAAGAATATTTCATTTTAAGTATATATTATTACTTGTTATTCAACTGTGAATAAACATTTAAAATGATATCGAAATTGCAGAAGTAAATCAAACGCAACCGTACTTAACTGGCGATAAAAATTCGATTGAAATCATTCCACTGAAAAGTTTCACATTAACAAGGGCAGTATTGATAATAGCCAAGAAAACATAATAATTATAACATTATATTTATACTGACAGTACATAAAAACAAGTGTTGTAGACACAAAACTTTCATTTCAAGAACACACAAGTTTAACGCATAATCAAAAAAGTGTAACAGTTCCCCTTCTCAACTCAAATTTTCAACGCTTTTCTTATTATATTACTCGACATTAACTTATTATCATAACCTCAGCTTTAAATTTCCATGCTCAACTCAACTTCCTTGTTCGGAAGATCTTACATTCTAAATATTAAAATATAAAAATCAGTATCGCGTCGATTGCGCCAAAAATATTGTGATTTGAAACTTAACCTTCTCAGGAAATCAGTAGGGATCGCAGATCAAGATGGACTTAGTTAACGTTCCTAAGCTCCACTTCAAACGTGAGTGTAGAGTTAGGTGGAATGGTTGGTGGGCTGCCCTTGGCGCCATACGCCATCGCCGGCGGGCAAACAATACGCCTCTTGCCGCCTACTTTCATACCGCTAACACCTACGTCCCAACCCTTGATAACTTCGCCGCGACCCAGGCGGAACTTGAAGCCGTTGCCCTTGGTTGAAGAGTCGAAAATTTTGCCGCTCTTGAAGCGACCCTCATAGAAAACGCTCACCATCCTGCCGGCTTTAGCGGGAGCTCCGGATCCGACGCGGATATCTTCAATCTGCACGCCGCCTTCTGCAACTCTCTTTGTGGGAGATTTTGCCTGTTGAGCAGCAGACTTTTTGTCGGCTTTAGGCGATTTTTCTTGTTGTGCGGCCTTTTTCTGTTCGGCAAGCTGGGCCTTTTTGCCTTTCTTAGCAGTGCCGTTCTGGGGAGGCATATCAAAGACTTCGTCTTCTTCATCATCAGACTCTTCTTCTTCATCATCAGACTCTTCTTCTTCACCCTCCTCTTCATCATCTTCCTCCTCTTCGCCGTCCTCATCTTCATCATCTTCATCCTCATCATCATCTAGGTCAGCTTCATCCACACCGGTATCATCTTCATCGTCGCTCTCTTCAAGCAAGTCATTGATATCAACATCCGAATCGTCTTCGTCATCCTCTCCATCATCGATGTCTTGCAAGAGATCCATGGTTTTCAGTTTCTTAGTTGGAGCTATAAGAAATTAGCAATTGGTTGACACATTTTATCATTATCACATAATTAACAAAAAGCCAGAAAGCATGCAATAAAAAAATGGTATACGCACGAGCATTTTTAGACAAAGCCTTCAATTTCTTGTTAATCTTATCTGACAAGCCATTAACTAAAACAAAACCTCCGGTTAGTTAACATGGAGAGTTCATGTACACAATTATTGAATAGGAATAAGAAATTTTATAAGAATGTGTACTGTGATATGCAACACAATACACAGACAACAAACTAGTTTAAACAAATTCAACTAGAAAAAGGTGTACTCCAGGTACTCAAAAATGAATAGATGAAAGAAAATGATAACACAAAAGAATTGCCAATGCATTGCATTATGTTGCACCCAGCTGCCGTTCACAAAATGGCGGTGATTTCAAATTTAACCTTAAAACTTCCCCAAGTTTTAAACAGACATCCAAATAAGTTTACTCACGTTGTCCTTCTGCTTTACCGGGCTTTGATCGTTTGCCAGAAACGATGTTGCTAGCGCTAACGTTCCCTACACTAACGTCAGCTTCCTCCTGCTCACACTCTTCTTCTTCCTCTTCCAAGTCATCAAACATGTCCTCATCTTGAATCAAATAACCAGACAAGTGAACATGTGAGTGTCCATTTGTGATGAATGATACTTCAGTTCCAATCTATTATAATTTTAAGAATTGTAAAGCCACAAACAAAATAACAAGACAAATAAATCTTACATCAAAACTCAAGTCCAAAGCACATTGCATGACTTTGTCTTTATGGAGTGTGCAGAGCAAATATTTACGGTTATCATAGCCGCACATTACTTGGACGTACTCGTCTGTGGCAGTATCATTGTCCAGGGCAGCCATTGAGATGTGGAAGGCTTTCTTGACAGTCTGCGTGTACTTCTTCTGAGGTTCCATAATGAGTCCTAAATAACATGATTAAGAAAACGGCGTTAGTAACATAGTTTTAAAAACACGTGGTCTCTTGAAAAACGTGGTCATGTTTCGCATAAACACAGGTGGGTCGGAAACACTTACCCCAAAACATTTTGTTTGTTGTGTAAAACGAAGATATTCAATAAATAAAGTCTGGAAAAGACTGATTTCTTGACCGTTAGAAACTGTTAAAACGTTAGAATCGTCTTAGCAGTGAGTTAGTGAACGTTTAGAGACTTTTGGCGGACTGCGGAGCAAAGCTGCTGTTATGGCACGCCGGCGAACGAAAAAGAACGTTGTAGATTATAAGCGTGGGGAGATTTGCCGGATCAGAACGAAAACGCGCGCGAGTCGAACGAAATGTGCTTTTAAGAGGTTAGCGCTGCATGTTTTCATTTGTTTTCAAGGAAAACAAAAGTTACTAGATTTGAATTTAAAACTTGGAAACCGAAGAGGACTTGTCACTTTCTAGTTGTATCTTTCTACAAGTGTGAGGTACTGTACTTTTATAAATAAGTAAAACTATTACTAAAGAGCATAAAGAAAATGAACGACCACAAGTACTGCAAAATAGTAAGTGTAAACTTTGACAAATCTTTGAAGTTTGGATAAACTTTGTTAATGTTCGAGGCAGCAATATAGAAAACCAAAATGGGTCAGCTATTTTTTTATGTTAACTAGTTTTCTATATTTAATAATGCAGTTTTAAAAATGAAATAAGTTGTGAGGAGCATATATTTTATTAACTTTGCTACATTTAATAATATTGCGCAATCAGATTACACCAAAGCGTATTTTCGATAAATTATTATGGATCACTTTATTTAAAGTTTCTCAACATTTGTTTTAATAATAGAAATAAGACCCAGGATACGCTCCTAGAAACAAAATGCATATATTTTTAATTGAAGCCAACTATGCAAGAATATAACATACCATAATATCCGTACGAATAAGGATACGTTCCCCATCCATAAGAATACGAAGGAGCATAATATCCCGAATAGGCGTATGCTGATGGATAATAAAACTGAGGACTTGCATTTGGGTTTGCATTGGGAGAGGGACCTGGTGTTGCTTTTGGCAGTGGTGCTGGTACAGGTCTTGGTAATGGATTACCAATTGGAGTAGATTTTACAAGAAAAACTCCAACGAAAAGCAAAATAATCTACAAAATCAAGACGGTAAAGTATTTAAAACTCAAAATTAAATAAGTATACTTACCAATGATAAACACTTCATTTTGAAGGCGTTGGTGGCCACTTAGAAATTGAATTCTGATTTGTCGCATGGCGATGTTATATAGGCTCCTGCTCACATGCCTATCGCAATAAAATCTATACTAAAATGAATTTTAATCTTGATATTTAATATTAATGCAACGAATTAATATGCTAAACATGCAATCATACAATGCATTTTATCATGTCCGTGCATCGGAGACTTAAGTAATGATTTAATAAACAAAATGTATTGTCATTCGATGCGTTCAACGTAAAGACCTTGATTTTCCAATAAATTTTCTTAAATGGGAAATCAAAACATCAAAACTACGTGATCAATTTGTTAATTAAATCATTAATTTTACAAAGTCAAGCTCGTTTACTAAGTTAAAAATATCAATTAATTTCTTCTAAAATTCAATAAATTTTCTAAATTCTTGCATAAAGTAAAGTTAGTGAAAGTAGCAAAAATTATTTTAACCGTTTTGGGATTTTAATTTTGAATTTACTTTAGTCGTGTTTAATTAAACTATCTTTTAAGAGAATGGAGATTCTTACACTTGATTTTGTGTTGAGCCCCAACAAAAATAATAAATCAAGTTACAGTGGAGTTACAGAAGACAAAACTTTACTTTTAAAAATCCACTGTAGATGTCGCTTCGTGTTTAATATTTGCACCTATTTTGTCGTGTAGGTTCGCGCGTATTCGCTGCCCCGCCGAGCGCCAATAATAACACAGAACATAACATTGTACGCCGTGCCGACCGTGCTCAATGCTCAACAAACATTGCGTTGTGTGTGAACCAGCGTGAACCAACGTAAACGAAGCGCTGAGCTAGAACGTGTGTGTAAAGTGTGTGCATCGCCGCTTTCCACTGCGAATTTCGGCGCAACGCAATTAGAAGACGCAATAGACAAGACACGTAGCTGAAGAAGTCGAGCTGCGCGCATCTGTGTATCTAAAAACAACGATCGCCAACAAAACAAGTGAATCGCATTTCGCTCTCGAACTTTACCATCATCTCTACCTTGTGCGTTGTCATAATACAACCTACAACACACTCTGGGATTGACGACCGACCGACCAGGAAATTTCGTGTGCGCTGCGAACCTGCGCCCGTGGCCAATTAACTAATAACCAACACCGGTTGAAAAAAACTAAACTTAACTAAACATACACAAATTTGTGTAGAATTTTGTCGGTACAAACAGTGTGCAGTGTCCAAATGATTGCGCATTTATGGCGATACAACAAACACTTCAATTCGGCGTTGTGCTTGCAATAGCCGTGCAGCTTGGAATCGTTGCGACTGCAGCAGCCAGCACCGAACGTGAGTAACTTTTCAAATCTTCTATCTATTCGACAGAAAATGGTGTCTGCAATAAAATAAATCCGACGTATATTTAACCTAAAGTCCACAAAACAAACAACTTTTGTTTATTTTCCTTGATGCGAACACAAAATAAACGAGAATCAATACCGATATTTCTATAACAGGAAGTTATTTTTAAAATACCTGAATTGAATTCGTGAAACACAAGTAGTTATCTGAATTCACACACAATTTTTTATCTCCCGATTAATTTGTGCAATGTACAGTTGGTTAGCCGCTTCAAATATGAATAAGTTAACCTTGGCGATGACGTCACGATTTATAGAAGTCCAAATTTCGATTTATTATTCAATTAAACCATTGAGGAATTCCGTCGGAACACTTTATTCGATTAATATTGTCAAACGATGTATAAATGGCTTCATTATTTTTAATTCAATGGATTACATTTTTCGCCTGTTAGTCAATTCGCCATTTACATTAGCATCTATTGTATTTGAAGCGTTTGTAATAAACTATAAACTTGTGGACCGTTTCAGTCAGCGAATCTTTGTAATGGACTTGCGGGCCCGCTTCCCAACTTTGATTCATTTCACTACTGTTGTTTCTGTTGTATTGTGAGTTGCGGTTTTGTAAACAATCCGAATTGGGCTTTAGGGTGGTTATGCTTCGATTATTACGCTGAGAAAATTTGTATACACACATCCAAACAGTTGTTACACACTTGGACAGTTGGCAGAATGCTAGAATTGTCGAGGTTGATGGTTTCTTGACTTTCGATTGGTGGTTAACACGGGTTTGCTACTCATTATACTTGGTGCTTTTGTCATGCCTTGAAGCATGAAGAACTTTCGATCCGTAAAATCTGTCGATAACACGCAAACATGTTTCTGACATAACCTCAATCATCATCTTTAATATGTAAACTAAAGTCATATTTACTTCGACCCTCATTCATATAGCACACAAGCACTGTGATATGTTATTATCAATAGCGAATAAGTTGTGCTAGGTTATAGTCGACGATTGCACCGGAGCGTTATCGCTCGCGTGCGTCTACGCTCTCACTATTTAATCGTCGACTACAACGCAAACATTGCGGCGACACTATTATTGTATCTATCATCAGCGAGTCCCCTTTCACGGCATTATTAATGCACTCTGTATTTACATGGAAAATATGCGCGTTTGTGGGTTATGAATGCGTACAACTGATAGTGATATGCGCATAATTGATAGATAAATAGATAACTTCTACGACGATTACAATAGGGACTCATGTTATAGATACTTGTATATAAATAGTAATATTAGTCATCATTTCTATAAGATGTGTTTATTTTGATTGAATTTATCTGTGATGGAACACACTGTATTTTGCGTATTATGTGTCTGTGTCATAATACGAGTAAGTCGATGACTGATACGGGTGAGTGGTAACATTATAAATGTAAATATTTCACGCTCCGATTTTTTATCGGATGGAATTTGGCAAATATCAAATGTACGAATATCAATATGTATCCATCCCAATATGCTTCACTTGTTCGTATGGAATTTCGTTGGTGAATTTTGATTCGAAGCAGCCGTTGGATAATTTTGATAATAATGCATCTGTTTACTTAGACCCACTGTGGGATTTGCCTGTTTGCATGCACGAGATTTATGATGTGTGCAAATAAAAAATATGAAGTGGAATAATTGTTCTGGGCGAGCACATGCGAAATGTAACAATGCATGTCATTGATACGAAGCTAATATTCATATTACACAGTATGGTTGGCGACTTGACTTGCCCGAGACAAATCGTAGATGTTTTAATTAGTTTTGTGCGCGCGCGCGCGATTCCATATTTCTTTCGCGCTTGCTGCGCGCACTAATGGCGTCGTATTCATCGCCCCGCACATTAAAAACGCAAGCGCGTTACTTTTCTGGCCTTGGACGAGGTTATTGCTATTTTTGCGCCGCAGCTAACGTTCCGCCTCGGTGTTATGTTTTTTTTTTTTTCGTTTTCGTTTGCTCCGTTTGCTCATTCTCATTCTTCTACTCGCTCTCGTTCTCACACTAGTTATGTGCACTATTTCTCAATGGTGGTTGCTCGCTAATTGGTCACTATTGTTAGGAATAATTATATTTTTAATTCGAAATCAAATCCAACGCTCTATGGATTACGGTTTCGTATTTATCGGGCATTCTCGCAGCGTGATGTCATTCGATTTTATGTTGACCAATTAATTTTTATTTTTGCTTTCTTATTAACATTCGTATTTTTGCCCTCGGAATCGCATACCGGAAACATGTAACTTGACACATCAAACACGCAACGCTCTTAAGTCGTACTATTACTCGCACTCGTTGCGTTTGTTTGTACATTTATTGCTGACATAATTTGTGTTTGGACGTTTATTTGCTCGTGAAGATTAATTCCGCGCGGCTTTCATTAATCTTATTAGTTTTTCATTTGCTTGGATTTGCTGGATTTTGTTTTGTTTTATTGCGCGTACATTGCGCACGGCTTAATGTAATAAGCAATAAACATGACCGCGCGCGAATGCGTGGATGTAATAAATAATCGTTTCGGCGGGCCGCGCGCGTACACACACACACACACGCTGCCTGATTGTTAATTGGCTCCGGCGAAAGGAAGGAGGAAACATTCGTTTGGCCGTGTCCGCAATTATTGGAAATTCGTATTCAGCGGCGGACAGGAGTCGAGCAAGGTAGTGCTGTCAACTGAAAAGGAGGCGTCGTTCTTTGTGAATGGGTTATGATTGATGCACACACGTGCGGGACGCGCAGGAAGGAATCGTTTTCATTTCCTCTCCAAGACAAAAGAATAAAAAGTCATTAATTATATTTTATATCCTGGGGTGCGGCAATCAGAGTTTTCCTCAGCTGTGCGTCTCTGCCCCATTGATTTTCTTTCATATTATGAATATTCCTGATGTGGGAGGTGTTTGCAGTACGTTCATGCATAGTGCACCCACTTGAATAACGCTCCGAACCAAATGAACAATGCCTTACTTCACCCGAGTACAAACTTGTGGCTATGTATGTGTGAAATTGTTGTTATCTCTTCGTGGGATGGGAGCAGAGTGGGTGCGTATGTGTGTTTGTGTGTGAGTTGCAGTTTTGCGGCTCATATTCGCGGGTCGCCGGCGGGTTTCCCGGTGCATTGAACTCGACCACTCTCTCGCGCTCCTCGCACTGCGCTATCATATTGAATGGGTCGATGTCGTACTATCTAGTTGTGGATGGAAGCCAGAATGAGGATGGAGACACATGCTGGTTGACATTCATATTTGCAATCATCTCAAGCGCATGTGAGATTCCCGTTACAATAGTTGACATGCATTGAGATCATGAATAAGAAGGGGCAGGAAGTTGCACGCATCATCGGCTCTTCTGTCCTAGTAATACTCATCCGACTTCCTGCAACACTCACGCACTTTGTTCTAATGAAGATTTCTGAGTTAAATTTATATGCTAGTCGAATCAATTTTAATTCTCAAGTACAATTCAAGTCGCTTTAATGATGGCTGTTGTTAAATCACCCCAAACTACCCTGTTTGGTATAACTAGCAGTAATGAATCATGCATTGTGCACCGTGCATTCCACCCTTTCTATTATTATGCCTTGCGTGTGCGGTGTGTTACTCCTGTAGTACTAGTGATAGTACCTAGCTGGAATGACGAGTGGGTGAGGTAGGTATTGAGGTGGAAAGTGAATGCACGGCTAGAGTATCGACCGCAACATACACCTACACACTTGCAGCAGGAACAATTTCAAAGTGGTATGTAGGTACTTGCAACGGATAGTTGGGAGGGTTGTGACGTGATAAATACATCAACTACTAAATTAAATTTCCAGAAACTGCATCTAGCGGCCTTAATTTAGTTAGTCATGCGCACTCGACTCGAGCAGTGAACAAATAATGCGCACAATTATCGAGTATGTGCAAACAAGCAACTGTAAATAAAATATGAGTGCAGGTACAAGGTACATAACGTGGAACCACTACAATTGCACCGATGGCAACGTCGCTCTTTTGGTTACACTTGGTCAACGCGACTCGCACAATCACATTTGCGCACATAGTGTAAGAGCGTATATTATTATTCTTGTATGAATAGTTGGTATGCGGCTATGTACACACGAACGCGCGCGCGCGGCTCGTCACTGACCCGGACAACGTTCTCGCGCTCTCCGGCATCGACCGGTTGGTCCGAAGCCATTGACAAACATGACCAACGACAACCGTCCCAGCTAAGCAATAACCGTACTAAAAGGAAATGACTGATCGCATACTTACCAACGACTTCTTCTACTACCATCTATATATCACAGATTATTTGTTATAGTTTCTGATATGTATAGTTGTTCATTCTTGGAAAATATCCAGGAGTCAGTGCGTGTTTGCTTTCTAGTCAGTAAAAAACTTGTTGTGAATTACTTGGCCAACCAGACTGCAATTATTTTAATTAGTTTACCAAGAATCCGCATTGTTTACTGAACTTGTTAGACACAGCTGAATCCCGAGCCCTTTCTGACTTTTTGCGTCTGGCTAGCTGGTTGTACACTTATTTTAATCCTCGACTGACTTCCACAGAAATAATTTTTGTTATAAAAAGCAACGATTATACTATTAGTTTGATTATATTTGCTTTTAATTTGATAGTAAACGTTATGGTTGGTGACCGCGCGTAGAGCAACGCTGGTTTGATCGACCAAGTGCAGGCGTTAATTAACACTAATTATCTACAACATTAATTATGCGAAAATTAATAACGCGTGAAATGCGCGTAATTTTCATGCGCTTCTTGCAGGAACAGCTAGTAAAAAATGTGAAAATTGAACGAAATTGACAAGGCGTGTAAATAATTACCACTTCCGGGTTGAATGAAATATATTATCCATAATATTTCTTATTCGTAATTTTATTCCAAAATGAATGAGTGTAATTGTCAAGTTGTCATACTGAGAATTGCAACGTTGT